TTTCATTAATTATCAACAAAGGAGAGGTCTGCGCTTGTGCACCTCTTGGTTTGTGCGAAATCTCAAAAGAATGAGTGATCCGTGTTGTTGTGCTGTATATTAAAGCGTTAACTTTTTAAATGCAAAAACTTGATGTTTTCAGCAAATAACAAGAAGTTTTTTATGAGTATTTGGCAAAAATTAAATAAAACTTCAAGCGATTTTTTATGGACTTAAGCAAATTGCTGGACGCAGCTAAGTGCCGGCTGCAGACGGACACTGAAGTAACAGCATGCATTTAATCATAAAAATTACCACTTCTTTGAGATGACAAACTGCATTGTGGTGGGTGAGTATGAAGCGAGGAATAAAATTTGAGCAAAAAAAAAAAAATAATTTTTCGCCACAAATGCATAATTAAAATGGCAACTGCTTTAATGCATGCCAAGCTCAAGTGCTCTTTGGCTGCCGCCAGATGACTGCAGTGCCCGGCATATGAAACTATTTACTCATATGTGTTTGGATTTATGTGTTCATATATACTTTCAAAAACAGAAATGCATAAACGAGCACTTTTGATAACTTCATTTTTTAAGAGCTTTTTGCGCACATTTATTGCTTTTGGCACTTCAAGTCACACATTTATTTATTTTGTTGTTTTTGTTATTGTGTGTTGCATTTTTTGAATGAGTGTTCTTTTGTCTCAAAGTGGGCTATATAAATAAGACAAATCACTCAACGCTGGCATGAAGATAGTTGCATGTTTATTAGGGTGGGCCAAAAATCGAACGAATATAATTTTTCCGTTTCGTATTCTGAAAAATAGGTTTTTGCGTACCTTTAAGAAAGCCTTTCCAATTATGAGCTTGTACTGCTTTAGTGCTCTGCTTTACAGTTTTATATACATATTTTTTATTGGACTGAAAATTGCAGAATTTGGTTATAAATACTTGAGAAAGATCTGGTTTCACATATTATTAAGAAAATTAAAAGCTTTGAGAAAAGGTTCCTTACGAATTCCTCGTAAACGTAACCGTTTAACTTTTAAAGTTTGATTATTTTGATTATTTTGAGGCACATTTTTTCTTATGAMTTTCAAAACTCAACGAAAAAGATCGACATAAATCGGAAAACTCATAGTTTTGTAGGAAATTTACAGCTCTATAAAAAAATACGCTTTTTTGACACACCCTAATATAAAATTTTTATGCTTATAGATATGTTTGTAGGTTCTTCAAGCATTTTAAAAAAAGTTTTTTTTACTCACCCTAATGCATATATTTTTATACTCGTAGATATGTTTGCAAGTTCTACAACAACATAAATTTTTTTTTTTTTTTAAATACCCTAATGTATATATTTTTATGCTTGTAGACATGTTTGCAGGTTTTTCAAGAATTTCAGCAGTGGTCTGCTGCCTGCAAGTTTAAATTAATTCAAGGAACTCCTTCGAGGTTCTGTTTTGACTTTTGAATTTAATATTTACCACTTCTTGGTTTTGYTTTTGTAAATATTGCATTTGACGTTCGGGAAGTGCTTCTCAGCGCTTAATTGAAATGTAAATATTCTCAAGCATATTTTGATTAAACGTTCGCCGTTAATGTGAGTAACGGTTGTTATTCGTATTTTATATGAGGAAGAGATGATATTATTAGTACTATACTGTACTAACCGTATATTGTACATACCTAACACATATGTGTATATATGAATTTAAGTAGTCATATTAAGATTCAGAAGTGCGCAAAGGGCAGCCTCTTGATCGACAAAAGGATGACTCATTCTTTTAACTAACGATTTTTTGTTGTGGAAAGATGTTTTCAATAATTTCAGACATTTTTAGAATTTAATATTTTTGAACTAGAATTACAAATTATCTTCAGAATTCTATTATTGTTTCTGTTTATCAAAAAATTAAAAAAATWAAAATAAAAATCTGCAAGGCACAAACCAGGTAATATGTAAATAAACAGTAGTAGTCSACCGCCACAAGCGCATAAATAAAATCAAAATCAGTTTTGAGTACTAAAGAAGACCCACAGGAGTAAACGGGGCAGAAAACAGAAAAAATTACGCCGAGGAACACTTGACTTTTCAATAACAACTTGAGTGTATGCTCAAATTTGCCAGTCAATTCCATAAGAAATATAGCAGAAATGCCTATGGGTTGCATTTGGACTACAGGAAGCTGTAAATTGAGCTAAGAAATAAATAAGAAAATTACTTAAGTGAATCTCAAGTGCTTTGGGTGTGAGCAAATTTGCATTGCTGATGGCTTTATTTCAAGGCAGACTCAATGATTCTTAAGTATTCTGGATACAACTGGGCATAATATTGTTATAAATGGAAATACCTTTATTATAAGAAGAAAGCAAAATATGTAAAGGTAATAATAGTTGTTATAATTGGTCGAAAATWGTTTACTGAAAAGTAGTTCTATAATTATTTCTTCTTTTTATTAAAATAGTATTTTTGGTTTTCGATAATAGGGAATATACATTATCGGGCTCTRCAGCCGGTACAATCTACCTTAATTTGCTTTGCTGTATTCTGGTTTACTTCAACCTTTACTTTGCATTTAGGTAAATTAATTTGAAATAAAAACCRCTTTACTCTAGTATACCTTGTGCTACTTTGATTTTAATTTAATTTTAATCTATTCTGCTTTACGTCCAACCTAACTGKTTTTACTCTGCCATATTTTACTTAAGTTTTTCGACTCTAAATTGCTCTACTATATCTTATCAGAGACAATCTATTCCAGAAAACTTTATAGAATCCTCTACCCAACTCTTGTCTACTCTGTTCTACTTTTTTCCATTCTACTTTATTCTATCACTTACTTTGTGGATATATACATATTGTAAACTTATACTGTCACGATCGCCTAATCGTCAGTGTATAAGCGAATTGGTCTCTTAGTTTTCGAGATATCGATCTGAAACTTAGACACGATTTTTTTCTTAAGAAGCTGATAATTTGTCGAAACCGTCGATATCGGGCAACTATGCCATAAATCTGTCATAGAAATTGATCGATTAAAATCATGTTTGTGTATGAAAAGTTTTTTTATTTGACAAGATATTTTCACCAAATTGGGTAAGTATTACTTTTCAAGACTATGGTACAACATACGACGAAATTGTTTAGATCGGCTTACTATAGC